TAATCCTTTGTTTTGCTTTTGTTGTGTATATCCAAGTTTGGCAGCCATACAGTAGACAAGGCAGTATACAGGTGTCTAGTACCGTTTTCTTAAGGTTTATCGAGTAGTCTCCTTTTAAAATTTCTTTGAGTGACCAAAATTTCTTCCAGGCTATGTTTGTTCTTCTTTCAATTTCATCTTCATTGTGCGTTTTCAAAAATGATATTTGTTTGCCTAGGTAGATGTAACTGTGGACATATTCTATATATTTTTCTTTTACATTAATGGGCCGTTCTATGCTGTTTGTCATGATTTTGGTTTTTGTCGCATTCATCTCTAATCCTACTTTCGAGCTTGCTTGAGCAAGACAGCGGAGCATATCTTGTAATTCATTTGCTGTTTCAGATAGTATGACTATGTCATCCGCGAATCTGAGATGGCTGAGATAGCTGTTGTTTATTTTTATGCCTCTAGTTTTCCAGTTTGTGTTTCGAAATACATCTTCCAAAACCGCAATAAATAATTTAGGTGACAGGGGGTCCCCCTGTCTGACTCCTCTTTCAATTTTAATTGCATCGCCTCTAGATTCTAACATGACATTACTTATGCTGTTGTTGTATATGTATTTTATAATATTTATATATTTCGAATTTATGTTTAAATTTTGTAGTGATTTCCATATAGAATTGTGGCTTATACTGTCAAATGCTTTACTGTAGTCGATAAAACCTAGATAGAGTGGCTTATTAAACTTTACGTATTTTTCTATAACTTGTTCCAGTGCCTGTATATGGTCTAATGTGCTAAACCCAGAGCGAAAGCCAGCTTGTTCTATTGGTTGTGCATTTTCAATCTCTTGTGTTATGCGTTTAAGGATTATAGATGAGAAGACTTTATATATGTTTGCCAGTAAACTAATTGGTCTGTAGTTGTTGATATCTAGAGGGTTTCCTTTTTTATAAAGTAGTATGATGTCTGACGTGCACCATTGGATTGGTACGGTTTCAGCTTCTAGTATGAGATTGAATAATTCTGTGAGAGGTCTAAGTAAAACTGGTGCACCTATTTTCAAAGCTTCATTGGTTATTCCATCGGGACCAGGACTTTTATCTGATTTTAGTTGTTTCAGCTGGGCGTATATATCTTTTTCTTCTATCGGTCTGATTATTTCCATGTTATCACAATAGTGTGATACGTTGGTTTCCTCGATGGTGTTATCTTTGTTTTTGTATAGTTCTTGGTAGAAAGAAGTTGCCTGCTGTATGATTTCTTGTCTCGTTTTAGTTTCTTTATGTTGGCCTTCTAATTTTTGTATCCAAGTTTTTCGTAAGTTTAATTCTTTAAATGCTTTCTTTGTGCTCCTGAATTTGTTTAGATTTTCTGTTATTATCCTTTGTCTGTGCTTACTATAGTCTCTTTGGATTGCTTTGCTAGTTTCCTTATATAATTTGCTTAGTTCTTTCTTTGTATTGGCATCCTTATTCTTTCTTATAGTTAGTTCGCTGCGTTTGTTAATTAAGGCTATTGTTTCTTCACTAAATATTTTATGTCGTTTTCCTTTTTTATTATATTTTTGGCTAGTTAAACTCTTTGTTACAGTTCCTTCTATCGCATCATAGTAAGATTGTACGTTTCTGGTATCTACTGGTTGGTTTTCGATGTTCAATTTGAGGCTATCAATGTAATGTCTTGTTTCCTCTTCAGTTTTCGGCATTTTTAGAGGTGGTTTAAAACCTTTTCTACTTTTTTTTGATTGGCTCAATAGGACTGTTGCTCTAATTAGTCTGTGGTCTGTTCTGAACTTTACGTTGTTGAGAACGTCATAGTTTTGGATTAATCTTGGGACATTTGTCATGATGTAGTCAATTTCGTTTTTAACACTTTCGTCTGGTGACTTCCAAGTCCATCTTCTGCTAGGTCTTTTTTTGAAATAAGTGTTTATTATTGCTAGTCTATATTCAAATGCATATTCTAGCAATCGTTCGCCTCTTTCGTTTCTTTGACCTAGCCCATACTGTCCCATGACGAGTTTTTCTTCTTTTCTTGGTTGCCCTATTTTTGCATTGAAGTCTCCTAATATTATGATTTTCTCATCAGCTAGTGTGTGAGCTTTTTTCAGATCATCGTAGAATTTTTGTATTTCTGTATTGTCAGATCTTTCCGTAGGTGCGTATGCCTGGATTATAGATATGTTTAGTCTGCCAAATTTCATTTGTAATAACGCTACTCGCTCCGAAATGCCAGTAAAGTTAGTTATATTATTTTTCCATGACTTTTTTACTAAAAATCCGACTCCATACAATCCCTTTGTTTCTCCTATATAGCAGAAAACATAGTCTGAATCCTCTTCTATGTGGCAACCCATTTTTCTTGTTTCTGATAGTCCTAGTATGTCGCAGTTTATATCTTTCAGTGCATTATTGAGTTCTAAGTACCGGTGTATTGATGACAGAGACCTGACATTATAAGTTCCATTTTTTATACAATTCTTAGAGTCTTTGTTCAGTTTAGTGGTTTTTTGTTTTTGTGGTTTTCCTGGAGGGTTGTGGTCGTACTCTTCCACGGAGACCAGCCGGCTTGGAAGATGTGTGTTATGTGTTGATGTAGCTTTTTCAGTTTGTTTGTTGTTTTCTGGGAGAGGCTGTCTGGTTCGTTGCTATATATTTGTGGTGTTGGCTTGTGTGTTTGTTTTGTTATTATTGTTTTTATTTGTTAGATAGTTTAGTATGCTTGTTTTTTCTACGCCTTCGGAAAGACTTAACGGTAACAGATAGACAGACATAAAAAATCTAAAAACTATAGATTCGGCCTCTGTATCGATAATAATGTTTATTTCAATAAGATTTTCCAAAAAATATTTAATGTACAGATTCGGCTTAGTTACAATTTTATTATATGTATAGATGTAGTATGTATCTAACTGAAACTATCAATTATTATTTATTTCACCGTTTTTGATTTTTTCATATTTTCGTAGAAGTAATTAAATAAAATTGCGAGGCACATCCGCAGCGTGATGGTATTTTTGCTAACGTTAAATGACTAGCGAAAATCTTAAAGATAAGCTAATTGTTACATTTTATGTAGCTACAATTTTTTTATGCTATACTTGTATCTTGGGCATATAATTCTTATTCAAACATTCAATATATGTACATATTTAAAGTTAAATGTACATATTTAAATCAAAAAATAAAATACATAAATACATGTTAATAAATTCATAAAAATTCGTCCGCTGGCATTTTAAAACCACAGACATTATCTTAAACATGTTCGTTATCGTCACCACATTACAGTAACACTACTACAGAATGGTATACAGTATATTAGTCACAGTTAAATACATTTTTTTATTCTACTTAGATATAAAGTATACAGTGACTTGAACCGACATGAATTAATCATCGTAAAATTAGGTCAAACAACCGGTCTGAATCCCAATATAGGAATAAGATCATCGTATATGAACCACTTGTGCTTTACATATTATATCCAATGCTAACAAAAAATACTCATGCATCTCGATTTTTTAAAGAAGGTCCTATTTGTATCGTTTGTAGTCCTATTTCGGGCGTAATTTCTTATAAAAAGAGTATAAAGTCGGTTGCCGGGTTAAAAAATACTTCGTATTATTCTTGCTTTTCTACTTCATTTAATCTCAACAAATTTCTAGCACAAGCGGTACTATATCGATTATCATGTTAATTGTTTATCAGAACAATAAGTACGTAAAAACTGGATCAAGCTGTCATGATAGTTACCGTTAAATTAAACAATACTATGTCAGTCACGAAATATGAAAATTTTCACGGTGCAAACCGCTAGAATCAACCAAAGGAAAATATACAGTGGATAGTGATTACGAAGACCATGATTTCTATGATGTAAATATGCGTCACTAAACAAAGTACAATACTAAAAGATGTAATCTTAACGTTCACTTCTTAAATAACAATTGATGGAAACATATTATTTAATATTTCATTAGGTTATTGCATCACGATTGTTTAAAGTTTCTTCTATTATCGTTGAATCTTGCGAAATTGATTTGTGTTCGGAAATGTATGTCGGTAATAATTAGCTAGATGATAGTAAGAACAACTTGTCGTGTGAACGCCTATTACAAATGACAATTCATAATGCTGGGGAACTAGAAATAACGGTCTCTATCAACGTGTTGGCAGAATCGCTTCACCATTATTTACGTGTGCTTAAATACTCAACGTTCATTCGTCGTTATGTTTATTTTTGTAATGGACGAAACAGTTAATGTGAAATACGATCACATGTAAAGTGTAACTGTTTACATTCAATGAAATCGAATGTTTCAAGTAGATTAGGTTATAATTCGTAGACTAAAATTAAAATAAAACTGTTTTTTTTTATATTTTTCAAAGATTCACTTTCCAATCGATAAATTGTGATAGGCAATTTTTTACCCGGGAAAAGTAAATTTCCGCAATTACGAATGCGCCGTTTCTATGCGGAACTAGCTGCATATTTTTAGAAATCCTGCTTTAATTTGATTATATTTAACTAATTTAAAAAATAGATTCACAAAATTTTATCCTAAATATAATTTATAGCCTATACGAGAGCCGTTATGGCCTAGCACAAAATATCATTTGTTTGTAATTTATAAAATTTCAACACATTTAACTATATTAAACATGTATTGTTCTTAATAAATTGATTGATCAGGCCATGAAAAATGTTTTAAGCAGTTTATAAACTTATACAAGCAGGATATTTGTGTCACTAGCTGAACCATGTCAGGGCCAGACCTTCAGTTACTCGAACCTATCGAATAAGCACGTGGAATAAGATTTTAATGTTAATATTAATTTGAGTATATTTAAGAATTATTAGAGGGGGCCATTAGCCTCACAGGAAATTTTAGTATACCCAATATTTGGATCTACTATGTTTAACTTACGAATATTTAGCATACGAAAATAATGATAAAAAAATTTTGTAGATCATCTGGGTTTAACAAGTATGATATTATGTTTTTTCAGGTACGGATGTTTGTCCCATGAAATCAGTGGTAAGACGCATCGGACAGCAGTTATTTGCAGCTCTTAATAGCAAAGGCCTCGCCATGCTTGTCAATCATGGCATCGCTGACGAAAAGGTATATGATTTATGGATGAAATATCTTATATTACTTAGAACTAAAAAAATTATGAATATATAAACATATTTTAATTACTTTTTAATGTAGCTTAGATGATTAAAGAAATAACAATTAATAATTTAAAGTTTTGTTTTTGTGTTTATTTGTAATAAATTTTTTATTATTATTTTTTAGTAGAAAAATCTATTATGTTTATTTCAAGCTGAAAGCGGTATATGCGGATCTGGACAACTTTTGCGCGTTGCCCGAAGGCTGCCAGGCGCAGTACCTTCGAAACCCAGTGAGCAACCACGGCTATGTGAAGCCAGGCATGGATCAATTTGACAGCACTAAAAAGGTACGTTTAAATAAAAAAATAAAAATAAGTTGCACATAAATATAAAAATCCAGTAATTTTTTATACTTAATAACAATTATTTTCTATTGTAATAAAAATAAAAAAATATTTATATGTGAAGATTTTTACATATTAAATACACAATATTTTTTCATAAAAATCTTATATTTATCTCCTTACTTATAAATAAACCTTTTTCCATATTTTTTTTTAATTTTTTAAACCTATTTACTACAAAGGTATACATATAATAAACATTCCGTACTTCATAAACAAAAACGCTTATATCCTTTTTAACTATTATTCCAGGAGTTACGCCATTCATTCAACATCACGTCGCTGGCGGCGGCTTCGATGCCCGCTCAGGAGGTGCCGGAGTTCACGCAGCACGCCGTGCCGCTCGCGCACGACCTCACCAACCTCTCCCGCGTCCTGCTACAGGCTTTAGCTTATGCTTTCGGTAATTACTACACTTATAATTAACTCGCGTTTTCCTGCCGTATTGTTCTGATGTATAATCTATATTACTGTAAAGTTTCATAAAAATCCGTTTAGTCGTTCCCCCTTCCTATGCTCTTAAGTATTTTCGTAACAGACTAGTAAACCATTTAAATTACTCGTTCATGATGTATCGGGAAAAGTATCATAATATCCACTATAATTTCTCCATGTAAAAATACAACATTGTATAATTGCTGCGTGAAATCAGAACAACCCAACCAACTTGTAAAACATTAAACTCTCGCATTTTTAGTGTTTGTAAGGATATTAGTAATAGCACACACCGTCTCGTCATTGTCAGCGGAAAGTGGATCGTGATGTCACTGTACATTACAAAACTTGAACATAAACTGTTTTACATTTTACCTGATACATAAAATACAAAATATTTTATGTTTATGTCATATTTTAGTGCAGTACGTGATTTTTGAAAGTTCTCAATATCACTCTGTTTTGTTTAAATATAAATAAGGCAATTTGTACATACATGGCTTTTACACAACAATGGAAACAATCTACATTATATGCTATAAACACATAAAAGTTATATATCTTCAGAACTATAATTATTAGTTAGAGTTAACTAACACTAGCGTCTAGATGTCAAACAATAATCTGTTACTTTGTCATAGTCTGTCTGTGTACTTTTCATCCCATACCGTCCAGCCGTTTCAGCATAAAAAAAATAACATACATACATGTAAGTTTTTACATTTATAACGATAGTCCGAATGACGAGCACGTCATATCTGTACATTTACTACACATACACACTCAACTTGTGTATGTCACTTGATTATTTGTACTTCAATGTGACGTCGGATTAAATTTTTTACATTTTAATTGCTATATTTTGTAGAAATACTTATAATGAAAAAGTAACCACAAAATAATTTATAAGGGTTTCCATAAACCAGACAAATAGCCTATTGCATTAAGAACCTATACGGCAATTGCAGGTCTTCCCCCCGCGACGCTACTGGCGTGCCACGCGGGCATGCTCGGCGGCGTGGGCAACGCGTCCAGCATGCGCATCTTGTACTACCCGCCCGTGCCGCCCGACGACGAGCGGCCGGCCGAACGCGGGCTCGCCTACACGCGCTGCGGCGCGCACTCCGACAGCTGCACCTTCACGCTCGTCGCGCAGGACTCGGAAGGGGGACTCGAGGTATGATATTATTAAATTTGCAAACTTGCTACTGTTCAGTTATTGAACCGTGCTCCCTATTTCATATAGGAGCTAATACCTAGCGTAGTTTAGGAATCATTTAACGTACTATCTACTTATGTTCGCTTCATTCGGGTCTCTGTGCCTAACAGCCTATTTGTTACTCCAGGTCATAATTTATCTGTGTATTAAATTCCATCCAAATCCGTCTAGCCGTTTGCATTCACGCATAAAACTTACACATGTAATCCGATGACACAATTAATTTTATTAAAATCGTCCCTTCCGTTTTAACGTGATGCACGTACTAGTACTAGTTAAGCAGATGCCAGATTAAACTTACGTAATATAGCATGTCAGATGATACTGTTTCGCGTTTTGGGAGATTACCATATTATAGAGATATTTCTGGTAAATATTGTTTACTTCCGTTGATGAAGATTATCCAACAAATATTACCAACTCTGAAACGTAGTATGTAAGTATATTAATGATAAATAAAAAAATGACAAAAATATAGCATAAAGTGGCAGTAATATGACACTACCTAATAAAATAATTAAAAAAAAATCGATAGTTATTAAAATTTAAGTAATTGTAATGTCTACTATGTCTATATCGCTCAGAGAACTTGTGAATTAACTAACAGGTGGTCTGGTTACAGGGTACAGGTTACAATACGTATCAGTAGAAAACGGGGGCAAAATTATTACGACAATGTTCTTCGTGCCTCCTCATTCCACGAGGGAAATAGCATGACAGTGTACAAGCACTGCATTTTCTAGTATTAATACTATTATCATTTAAATTTATATAATAAGACTATTATCATTTATATTCCAGGTGAAACTGAATGGTAGTGAAAAGTGGCAAGCTGTTGGGCATCTTCCAGGAGCGATCCTCGTTCAGACTGGAGAACTTCTTGCATCTTGGACCACTAATTTGCTGCCAGCACTTGTAAGTATTTAATTGAAAAAGTTATGTCTTATAGCTCTAAGCCCCATTTTTCGATAATAGAATTAGGAGTTTATAAGTCAAAAAAAAAACTATATCCATACTAATATTATAAATGTGAAAGTGTGTTTGTTTGTTTGTCTTTCTTTCACGTTGAAACAGAGTGTCGGGTTGACGTGATTTTTTGTGTGGAGACAGGCTACTTTTTACCACGGGAAATTATCTCACTCTTACGGAATAACACGTTATAATGCAACCTAAAAAATATTTGTGATCAGAATTACTTGAAACTTTTTATTAATTCTCTTCAATACAATTAAATAAATACGCGTTTCAGCATTTTTCATCCAAAATAGGGGATAAAAGATTTTATGAAACCTAATTTTTTAGTTTTTTTTGTAGTTATAGCGCGAGCGAAGCCGCGGGCTCTGTTAGTTATAATATTATAATATAAATAATATATCGTTTGGATAGAAAATTATCTTTTTATTTTATCAGTTACCCTTCACTATAAAAAAGATAAACTATAAGTAAGGTAAAAGATTAAACATTCTAGAAAAAGATTAATTTTTCTAATCTTCCTGCCATAATGTATTATCCACTCATATATTGTGTATTTACTAAGGGATTAAAAATGCGAATGAAAGATATCTGAAGTTATAATAAAAAATGTAAAACATTTTGAAATGATTTTTATAATATTAAATTATCACGTTCAAACGTAATATTATGTGTCTAGTGGAAACACATAGCACATTTTACACTATACTTCTTAACTATATATTAGATAATTCTTACATAAAATTATTATTACAAATTTATGAAATTCCAGTGAAATACCCTGTGAACACGGATTTTGTAAATTATCGACAGACAGGTTAATTTCCAATTCAGAAGTAATTGTCGCTTAAATGTTCATGTTTAAATGTGATTACGTAAAAAACTAATTTGATTTTAATAACATCTCATCATTCCAACATTTAAACGTATTAGTGGTATAATTTTAACTGCGTCATAATTTTTTAATAATATGAATTGATAACATGAAAATAATTATTGTTTTGTGTGACATACATTTAACTGGAACAGGTATAAAATACAAATTGGTTTATTAAACAACATTGATAAGATAAACATCAGAACACTTAATTCGTTTATGTGGCGAGGTCCAATACACTTAAAACTTCCGTATTCTAATTTTAAATCGTTTACTTTTATAACCGATACTTCTACTAACTCAATTAAGGCCAAGGTTTTACCTATGTAAAAAATATTTCTTATCTAACCAATAAGTAATTTAGACTTAAATTGATATTTCTTAGACTTCATAGTTTGTGTTGAATTAGGTAAAGAACTACGTAAATGTAGTGACGACCATTAACATTTTTAAAGTAAAACTTCTTTACGCACGCTTGACTTGGGAGGGGTAAGCTGGTGAATGCATGATGAAAATCGGGCGAGGCGAATATTTGTTGCCATGGTAACCGTTGTTATTGTCTGACAAATGATATATAATATTCTTTCTCTAAATGATATTCTATAAATATATGATTGTAATATGCCTAATATGCGTTATTTTTAGTATCTCACCTATCCTAATTATTTAAAACAGTAATTAGATTTTATAAAGGGTACCGATAACCTACGGAAGTTTTACTACTTGCGCGTGTACACATTCATACACGCACTCTTTATTTTTTTTTTACAGATGCACCGAGTGGTAGTTCCCTCCGGCACGTACGCGCGCGCGCGAGGGCGCCACTGCGTCGCTTTCTTCTGTCACCCGGACAACGACGCGGTGATTCCCGCTCTATCCCGCGTGGCTCCCGCGCCCGCGCCACCCGCCTTCACTCCGCACCCGCATATTACTTTCCACCACCGTCTGCTAAACGCGGCCCATCATATACAAAAACGTTTTAGAGAAACGTACGCGTGACTAGTACGGGATAGTAAGGACGCGTCATACAGAACAATCGCACGACGACACGCCGCGCCTTAACGTGCAGTGTAGCTAATGCACGTTTTAACAATTTATATTGCTCCAATACTACAATGTCACTATGGAAATTATTTTTGTGTGTCGTCTTTTTTTTAATTATAATGGCTTATAGTTTTGTGTCGTCTTATATTAAATGATTTAGCGAAACTTGAAATATAACATATATACGTTGAATTGACGCGTCCTGAAATTCATAGACCAATTCTAGGTTGATTGATTTTTTAATTGATAAATATTAGAAAAATAAACATAAAAATGATATTGTATATAGATATCAATCTGAATATTTTAACTATTGAATAATCGATTCCCGTAATAAAATACCACAATTTATATTAAACATGTTTAAGTACATTTAATGAATATGAAAATCTGTGGCAAAAGACTCTAACCGAAATTATTATCAAATAAAAAAATTCTTTTCAAAATAATGCCTGCCTTTGATGCTCAAAATATTTCAAGCCCTTTATCATCTATTTGATCATTCCAAATTTTGACATTGTATGTGACCAATTAAATGACTGCTTCAGGCATTTTATTAGATCTATAGAAAATGTCTAAAATTTTTATTAACATTAAGTACTTAGCAATTAGCAATGAGACGTCTCATCTATTTTGTGCTAATTTGTTTACTTAAATATATTCTTGTAGTCCTTGTGTTCTTGCTTCGTTATTTATAATAATAAGTTTTATTTAAATTCTTACTTTATTTATTATTGTGTATCTTCTTCATGCTTACTTATCACATTTGTTTAGTAAATTGTGTGATATTTTTAGTTCAATTTATAATCAGTACTTAACCATTAAAGCTTTTTGTTTATCTACCTACTTAAGAAGAAATCATATCGCCGCGCTGTTTAAAGATTACTTAAAATAATAGGAAAGACACTATATATCGGATTTGGGAAGTCGATTATAGAAATGATGAGACAAAAACTATTTTTTTTAAATTAATAGACATATATCATCTATTTTTATTTGTTTTTTTTCCATAATATGTACTCGTATTATGTCACAAATTATAATTTCATTTTTGCTTAATTTGAAGTGTATATATATATTTTTATTTTAAAATCCATTAACAAACCCAATTAATATGCAGTTAGACTAAGTAAGTCGTATATACGGACAGTATTTTTATTTACATACGCAGCAAGCTCCAATGCGCAAACATAGATAGCTTTAGCAATATTTTTTTTACATGTACAATTGCGCAGGACTTTGTTGTTTCGGTCAGTGCTTCACTTATCATTTTTACTTTATTACCACATGACATTTCACTTTTTGATTTAAGTCTGTGATCCCATATAATTTTTATGTAAATTAAAAAAAATCGTATTAATAGTAAGGTACTTAATTTTTATATACCAATCATACAGTATCAAGCTTATTGTACTTAAAAATCTAAGCGCCATTAGTACTATACATACCAAATTCTTATTTAATGCAATATTATTTTTAATTGCACATTTTTCATTACATTTTACTTATTCCGAAATGTGTTCAGTAAATATTTTAAAGTTTGTTGTTCTATGTTATTACCCAATTTAGACAATGACAAGACAAATTAAGTAGATGTTTAAGTAAGAAAATTTCTGTGAATGTTCTAGTTAAAATTTTAAGCTATACTCGTATTTATCTGTTGCGGTTGACACATCTTAAGAAATTCTGTTGCAATTATCTTTTCGATAACAGTATTCAAATTATTGTTAATCTCAGAACAAAAAGAATAGGATAAACGGAGTGAGAAGAAGACTGTCGCCATAAATATTATAAACTATCTCTTTATACTACATTTTCTCTACTGCGCCAGCAGTTTCGTATGGTAGTTTTTTCTTACTTTTGATACCATATTACTTGGTAGCAAAATGTATCAAATGGTCTGAAAATATTAAAAAAACTAGATTACCTTTTATTGGTATAAGTCTAGAATAGAAGAATATAATAGGTTTCAGTTAACGCTTTTTCTCCGTCTGCTTCGTCTTTCTTATTTTTTTGTCCTGAGTTCTTAGTATAAATATATAAATTCTTCAAGTTTTCAAGAATATTTGATAATCGTGATTATTTTTAATCGAATTTATGACCTTTGTTATATATACACATACATGTCTATTCCAAATAAATCCTGTAGAACTTTTATATTTGACAAATAAAATAGCTAATTACTTTAAAAACATTTTTTATTTTGCTTATTTACCTACACTTTTATTTCCTCGATACAATGAATTAAATATACATATAAATACCACAATTCAGACATTTTCCACAATTGTTATGGCGATAAATATATATGTGGATGATGTTTGATTATTAATAATATCTTTCTTTCCTTTAAACTACAATACTAGTTACCTTCGGGTTTATTAAACGTTTATTTCTCTAATATAAGAGTTACATATTAGAATGCTGAGAACTCCTAATATAATGATATCTGTGTCCAGACACACTACTCTACTCTGGAGTACTCTGAGAAGTTTCATATAATTGAAATAAATAATAAAAAATTTTTTAATAACATAATACAATAACTGAAAAGTATACATATGAAGCGAGACATGAACGATTTACCTTATTTTTGTTGTTGAAATATGTTAGTGTGTGTGAGTGTACGTTTGCCATATACCTATTAATATTGTTAGTTTTGCAATAGATGGATTCTTCGTAACTTAGTTTTTTTAGATTCCATCCATTTTATTGTATTTCTTTGTTTTTTTTAACCTATTTTAAAGAAATAGGAGTATCTATCCCGATTTGTTCAAAAGTGTATACCAGCAAAGAATTCCCAATATCGCCATAATATTGAATTTAATAAAGAATCTGACCACTCTATACAGTGTTGTGAGTTTGTTTTTCATTTAATTATTGATTATACATAAAAATATACGTGTCAACTTACGGAACTCTTTTTTATTCAATTAAGAAATAAGTTGAGGTGAACATACAAGTATTGTAACTAGGAAGTTACAAAAAGACTATCATTGTATAGCGGTTTACTGAACAGACCCCCTTACCTTTCGAATTTCATTTTCAACTAGGTATGTAATCTTGAGTGATAAAAAAATATGAACAAATAAAAATAATTAATTACTTCCTAATCAGATATTCCTCGATCGATTTTATTACTTTTTTTATCCTTATTAGAAATATTCACGTTTGCATAATATATTTTTCAATATAGATAATTATCATACTAATATTATAAATGTGAGTGTGTTTGTTTGTTTTTTGTCCTTCTTTCACGTAGAAACGAGTGACAGATTGGCGTGATTTTTTGTGTGGAGAGAGTGTGAAGGGCTGGAGAGTGACATAGGTTTCTTTTTACCGCCGGAGATTATCTTAGTCCCACGGGAAAACTCGATTAGAGTTTTTTTGTAGTTCTGCTAGTTATATTATAATTATTACCGGCCTAGAACATTCATATTTAACAGAGCTCTATTTTATATTTATCATGATAATATTTAATGAATTCTATAAATTATTTGAATAGTAACTTCTTAGTGATCACTTATTTGAGAAAACTCTGTTGGGGGGAAACAAGATTAGCTAAAGACAGGTCGATGTATGGCTATTTTAATATAGTCGACGCATAATCGCGGTGGTTATTTTCGAGGTTTTATTTTGGCGCAGTTCGCGTGTGGTCGATCGCGCTATGATCTTTTGGCGGGAAAGTAAACGTCACCAGTGATAAACTGAGTGTTCCCGGTGCAACTACAGACTCAAACTAAAAAAAAGAAGAAAGGACATGATATTTTTCTAATATGGTGAGTTATTATAATGTTAAATTACTATTTTCTATCAATCCAAAACCACTTTAATGAATAATGATTTAAACTCGGACTTGAACATGGCAGATGAAGATGTGCTTATCTTAATGTAGTAAATACTTAATTTATCTGCTTTTTATCCCCCGATACAAAAAGAGAGGAGTTATAAGTTTAACTTGTGTATCTGTCTGTAGCATCATAGCGCCTAAACGGATAAGCCGATTTTAATTTCGTTTTTTTTTAAAGGTGACGTTGTTTTTAGCCGTAACTCAAGAATATCCGTACAGCCGTTTGCAGGCCATAAGCTGTTTTTTAGACGGTTAAAGAATATGTACATTGTGTATAAAGGATCGATTAAATTTGATTAATCGATTCGAAATTTGGTATCCCGTCATTTTAATGGACATTGCAATGATATTTTAACCAAGACCTTAGGCGACAGCGTTATCTGGAATCTGCAAGAATCTGCTCATTAAAATGGCCTCAATAAATAGGTGTTTCCGTAGGGTTTATTTTTAATTTATGAGTTATTATAAATACCTAGTTAACTACTGAGACTAGCTATTCTGCTCAGGCATAAGTGTTTTCAGCAACTCATACAGTCTACTAAAAATTTTGTCTAGTTCAACTTGACATAAAAGAATACCATATATTACCACATACTAGTGACTTAACGTCGCTTCACTCGGCCTAGGTATATATAGTTATAATCATATATGTCACAGTGTACCTGTATAATATTCCGTCCAAACCGTCACGCCGTTCCAGCGTTAAGGAGTAACAATCATATATAGGTACACATAATTACTAATAATAATACAATCTTTCGCATTTGTAATAAATAGTAGTTTGATTATTATTATTTATGTATAGGTACATAAATTATGTACCTCCAAGGACAATTGTTACACTCACTTAAAGTACTTCAATCATTCCTATAATACAATACTTTCCATCTATTTATGAGCTTTTGTAGCGACACGATTCAGCTCGAAATAATATATTTTATTAGATATTCATTTTCCTTACTTTTGAGTTGAGTCACAAAATCGCTCACATAGAGTCACACTCTCTTAGAGTCTAGAGAGATACGTATGGGACTCACTGCAAATATCTGAGACTGAGTGGCTACCCATCCAGCGTGTCTTTTACAGTACTATAAGACCCTTC